TTCAGTTCTGGACCCCCCACAACAAGAGAGACATTGAGGTGCTGGAGCGGGTCCAGAGAAGGGCAACGAAGCTGGTGAAGGGCCTGGAGCACAAGTGTGATGGGGAATGGCTGAGGGAACTGGAGGTGGTTAGTCTGGAGAAAGCTCAGGGGGGGGGATCTTATTGCTCTTTACAACTGCCTGAAAGGAGGATGGAGCCAGGAGGTGGCTGGTCTCTTCTCCCAAGGAACAAACAATAGGACAAGAGGAAGAGGCCTCAAGCTGCACCAGGGGAGGTTTAGCCTGGATATTAGGAACAATTTCTTCCCCAAATGGTGGTCAGCCATCGGAACAGGCTGCCCAGGGCAGTGGTGGAATTATCATCCCTGGAAGTGTTCACACACCCTGTAGATGAGGCCGTCAGTGACATGGTTTAGTGGTGGCCTTGCCAGTGCTGGGGCGATGGTCAGACTTAATGATCCCGAAGGTCTTTTCCAACCCAGCTTATTCTGTGATTATGATTCTATGACTGAAGTTCCCGGGTTGGCCACATAGGGGCAGGGCATGAGGAAACTCCTCCAGAAGTGGGGCTGCTCCCACAGGCAGTGATCTTCGTCCCCCTGTTCTCATGTCCTTCTGTCCTCATACTGGGAGATGACCCTGCTCAGAATCATTTTGTCCTGGGGACACAGCTCTCTCAGAGGGGAGAGTTCAACAGGGAAATTTGAGGCTTCAGGCTCAGCTAAGTGATAGAGATAGATGCTAAAACACCATCAACACCAGGGAAGCAGACATAACCCTTGGCCATCAGTACAGGTATGATGCAGAGGAGATCCCCATCTCATAAAAGGAGAGGCTGGGAGAGAGGAGCGCTAGATCCTGTTGTTCTCCAGGCAGCCTGTGTGTCCTGCAGCTCATTATCTCTGCTCTGCTTTAATTGTTGCCTCTGGCTGTTTTCTTAACACTGAAAGAATGCAGATGTCTTGGTTTCCTCACCATCTGCTGGACACCCTGCTACTCAATTCCTTAGACATCAAATTCCAAACTCCCACCCCAAAATCCTGCTGCCCCTTAGCGCTGCTTTGCTGCCCCACATGATGCTGTCATTGATGTGTGGTAGATGTTCAAGGGGGTCACCCTGTTCCAGTGCAGCTTAATTTAGTCCATGACCAATGGTAGGACTGTGCTTCTACCCATGGGACAGTAAATTCTAGATGTATTAAACGCCCCTTCACATGAAACCAAGCTGTGACACTCTGCTGTCAAAAAAAAATTGAGAAAAATACATTGACAATACTTGTTGTCTCTCCTTGACCCCAGTTTGTACTGGACCTCTAATCCATCAAGTGCACCCTCAGCAAGTTTGCCAATGACACCAAGCTGTGTGGTTCGGTTGATACGCTGGAGGGAAGGAATGCCATCCAGAGGGACCTCGACATGCTTGTGAGGTGGGCTGATGCCAACCTTATGAAGTTTAACCATGACAAGTGTAAGGTCCTACACCTGGGTCTGAGCAATCCCAGGCACAGCTACAGGTTGGGCAGAGAAGAGATTCAGAGCAGCCCTGCGGAGAAGGACTTGGGGGTGTTGGTTGATGAGAAACTGAACATAAGCTGGCAGTGTGCATTTGCAACCCAGAAAGCCAACCGTATCCTGGGCTGCATCAAAAGGAGCGTGACCAGCAGGTCGAAGGAGGTGATCCTGCCCCTCTACTCTGCTCTCATGAGACCTTACCTGGATTACTGTGTGCAGTTCTGGTGTCCTCAACATAAAAAGGACATGGAACTGTTGGAACAAGTCCAGAGGAGGACCATGAGGATGATCAGGGGATTGGAGCACCTCCCGTATGAAGACAGGCTGAGGAATTTGGGGCTGTTCAGCCTGGAGAAGAGAAGGCTGCATGGAGACCTCATAGCAGCCTTCCAGTATCTGAAGGGGGGCTATAGGGATGCTGGGGAGGGATTCTTCACTAGAGACTGTAGTGATAGGACAAGGGGTAATGGGTTAAAACTTAAACAAGAGAAGTTTAGATTGGATATAAGGAAGAAATTCTTTCCTGTGAGGCTGCTGAGGCACTGGAATGGGTTGCCCAGGGAAGTTGTGAATGCTCCATCCCTGGCAGTGTTCAAGGCCAGTTTGGACAGAGCCTTGGGTGATATGGTTTAGTGTGAGGTGTCCCTGCCCATAGCAGGCTGGTTGGAACTTAATGATCTGAAGGTCCTTTCCAACCCTAACTATTCTATGATTCTGTGGTTCTACTCCAATGGACTAGGACAGCTTTATTTTTAAAGAGCATGCCATTGTCATACTGCATGGTAGAAGACAGAGGAGTATGAGAAAAACAGCAACTAAACTTGGCCACTGTGGCAAGACTATCTGCTCTTCAACAATGATAAGCCTTCCCAAAGTCCAAAACCATTTCAAATCCAGAATGGAGATCGGGTGTTGGAGGGAGAGGTCTACACAATCAGTTTGCCACGTGGACCAGGGAATTTTGCTACCTCTTAGGTTAGCAAAGATTTGGCCTTCCTTGTAAAGCTTTCTGTTTTCTGTACACGTTTCACATCTGGATATCAAGGCACATGTTTGTCAAGTGTTAAGTGGCAACACTGGTATGTGCTTAAGTAAATCACCTGTAGCAGTAAGTCCTAATGATGCATGCAGCTAGTAGGCTAATGAGTTCCATTTAGTGGAATCAGGGTCCACAGCATATTAATTCAAGCTAGCCAGTAATCTTTGGCACTGTGTTCGGTCAGCTTCCTTAATATTAGCTTTTTGGTGTGTGGATAGATGTACTACTTGAAGGGAAGAAGATAAAGCTATTTTTTATATTTTTAACTAATATGGGCATCCTGAAATGTCTCTTTTTCCTACCTTCTCTACTAGTCACGTCATTGCCAGTTTTCCAAGTCACTGCATGGCTCCAGCCAATACAGCATAGCAGTCAGTATGGACTGTGTTGGCTCCAGCTTAAATATCATCACTGCATATTATACCACCCTTACCCCTCAACATCTCTTATCATCACTTGGCCACATATTACAGTAAATATGAGTCTTCTTATTGTTCTCAACTGGTTATTTTAGTAGGGAAATCATGTTACTATCTAGCTGATTTCACTAAAATTGCTTGTTTATATCGCTTTTTGTGTGCTTACACATAACTTGGGTTTGCATGGCAAGGTTTTCGGAATGACAGGGGCTACAGGGGCAGCTTCTATAAGAAGCTGCTCGAAGCTTCCCCAATGCCAAATGGAGCAAACGCCAGCCATGACCAAGACAGACCTACCGCTGGCCAAACCTGAGCCAATCAGCGATGGTGGTAGCACCTCTGTGATAAACAGGAAAGACAAGATAACAGCTGCTGCACAACAGCAACTAAGAAGAAGAGAAATGTCTGGGTACCAGAGCAGATAATACCCTGAAGCCCACAGTGCAGACCACAGTGAGGCAGGATGTCCCCCGTAGCCCATGAAGATCCACAATGTAGCAGATATCCACCGGCAGTCCATGGAGGTACATGGTGGAGCAGTTATACACCTGCAGCCCGTGGAGGTCCACAGAGGAGCCGATATCTACCTGCAACCCATGGAGGTCAATGGTGGAGCAGATCATAGAACCCTAGAATAGTTAGGGTTGGAAAGGACCTTAAGATCATCTAGTTCCAACCCCCCTGCCATGGGCAGGAACACCTCACAATAAACCATGCCACCCAAGGCTCTGTCCAACCTGGCCTTGAACACCGCCAGGGATGGAGCATTCACAACTTCCCTGAGCAACCCATTCCAGTGCCTCACCACCCTTACAGTAAAGAACTTCCCCCTTATATCCGATATAAACTTCCCCTGTTTAAGTTTCAACCCGTTACCCCTTGTCCTGTCAGTGTGGTTTCTAATGAAGAGTCCCTCCCCAGCATCCCTATAGGCCCCCTTCAGATACTGGAAGGCTGCTATGAGGTCTCCACGCAGCCTTCTCTTCTCCAGGCTGAACAGCCCCAGCTTTCTCAGCCTGTCTTCATACACAAGGTACTCCAGTCCCCTGATCACCCACCTGCAGCCCATGGAGGTGCATGGTGGAGCAGTTCTCCACCTGCAGCCCGCGGAAGACCCCCTACTGAAGCAGGTGGATGTGCCTGAAGGAGGCTGTGACCCCATGAGCAGCCTGTGCTGGAGCAGGCTCCTGGCAGGACCTGTGGCCCTGTGGAGGGAAGCCCATGCTGGAGCAGGTTTGGTGCAGGACTTGCGATTCATGGGGGACCCATTCTGGAGCAGCCTTTTGCTGCTCATGCTGGAGCAGGGGAAGAGTAAGGAATCCTCCCCTGAGGAAAAAGGAGTGGCAGAGGTAACGTGATGAACTGACCCCAACCCCCATTCCTTGTCTGTAGCCTGACAAGCTGCTCCAAGAGTGTCTCCAAAGTAACTCTTTTCTATGGCTGGTCATGGAATAACAGTACTACATTACCAAGCAGTCTATTGCTTTTTACAAGTGGGGGGAAGATACCAATTTAGACTGTAAATACATCTGGAAAACAATATGATGGTGGATCTTATGACACTCAAGGTGAAAGGAGAAAGGTGGAGGAATGTGTGGGAAGTAAGACCATACTGCAGCACTACATTTTTATTGTCAGTTCCCTTTAATAGCACCAGAAGATCTCTCAAATTTGTTTTCCCTCCAAGTGTGAACCTCTGTGTTCTGTGAAATCGGTGATACCTGTCAAAATTCTGTTTGGATGGAGAAGCTTTGACCAGGACAATACAGGAGTTTACTGTATGAATTTCTATTTAATAGGACTGAAGCAAGCCAGAGTCATATAGGCACTGGCAAATAGTCTCATGCAAATAATTTCTCATTGATGTTAATGGACTTTGAAACAGTCCCTAATGGTACATTTAGGGAATGAGAACTACCTTCCATGGAATTCTATGGCATGCATATCAAGGCTTGACACACTGAAGTTGCCACCAGACCTTTGTCACTTCAAAACCAGAATCTCTCTAGCGAGACACCTGTGATTCTCTTCAAAAAGTTAGCCTTTACTGCACCATACTCCACTCTGGCATTAAAATCTGAGATTCTGTGTGGTAGTGAATGAATATGTAGTTTATTTGGGGGATTCAGGTCAGGCCGAAATGGTTTATTTCTACACCTGTTGGGGAAAACAGAATAGCAGAAGGTCAGCCTTCTATTAATACAAACTCAGATTTAAGACAATAATACTAGGATTTACATACAGTTGTAGCAGATATGAGCTTTATTATTACTACTATTATTAATATTACTATTAATAATATAATTATTAAAATATTATTAATATATATAATAGTCATATTATTAGTTTATCGAGGGATAGACTAGATAAAGTAGACACACTAGGTACCCAGCAAGTAGAGTATCAGACATCTGGAAATAAAGTCTCAATAAGAAACCCCTTCCAATTGTCCTGTCCTGGTTTTGCAGCTGAATCACAAACTGAGTTGTTACTTCACCAGTCAAGACAGGACCAATTAATCCACAAGCAATAGCATGACTTTTTATAACAATCAAGCTTAGATTCTAAGATATCTGAGATCTTTTGTTTAATTGGAGAGCTTTCCGAGTTTGCACGAAGTCATATACAAGTAAACCAAAGTGGGAACATTAGTTCTCATAATTCTCATAATCTCATAATCTCACTTTGCACCAAAATGAACTCCAGGGATGTGCAAGAATATCTCTTGGGATGTGGGAAGCAAGAATTTCTATTTATATTTAGTTTATATAAAAAAAGAAAGAAAGATATTAAGCTTTAGTGACATTTCACATACAAATTGAGGACAGAGCCCCAACTTGCTCCATACTGCAGAGCATGCTGGGTCTGACATCGCACCAAGGGCTCTTGCTGCAAGAGAGGGTGTCCACAGCACAGAAGGGTTCACAGGGGTGCCCACCCTCATCTGTGCTTTCAGCATATTTCTACTGCGACTGACTAACAAACTCCTGCTGCTGAAAGGAGATGGGATAGGGCAATGTGCCCATGAAGCTTAGGGAATATCTAAAGTAACCTAGCCAGAGAGTACTGCATTACTGCAGTAATTGGCATCATGGACATGTTAGTCCTGAGGATGAATGTTATCTATTGTGTTGGTAACATTCCAGCAATTCTGGGACTTCTGAACTAAGGTTCTATTCGGAAAAAAGGGCCTAATAGAGGTGACTTGTGCTCTGCGGGAGGGGCAGTGAAAAGGCCAGCTGCAGATAGTACAACTTCCATTAAAGAGGGTACACATCATTATGAATAGTAACAAAGGCTGGAAAAAGCTAGGTGATGAATTTGAAAAAGTGGTATGGAAAAAAGCCTGTGTGGAATTTTTCATGGATAGGAAAACATTGCACTGACACCACTGATATTTGGGATGAACCTGAAAAATTGAAAAGTTCTTAAAAGCTGAAGAAAGGAAAGGGAAGGCAAAAGCAGGCTTGTGTTGACTGTTAGGAAGTTGCTTGCAAGCAGTAGAGGAGAATGTAGAAGGAGACACGTAAGAACAAAACATGAAAGGGAGAAAAGAACAATTCTAAAAGATAAAAAGTTGTATAAAACACAATGTACACAGCTAGAAAATCGGAGTAAGTATTTAGAATCAAAATTGGAGGCCCATACCACAACCAATGCCCACATTTGTAGAGATCACTTAGGATAGCCTACTGTTCTGGTTTAAACCCAGCCAGTAGCTCAGCACACACAGCTGCTCGCTCACCCTTCCCCTTCCTCCTTTCCCAGGTGGTATAAGAAGGAGAATCAAGGAATGTAAACCTGCAGGCTGATACAAGAACAGTCCAACAACTAAAGGACAATATAATGATAATAATAACAATGATAAGAAAAATAATAATATAATAACAATGAAATAACAAGAGAATATAAAGCTAAAAGAGGAAAGGAAAAAAAAACAACCCAATAAACCCAAGTGCTGCACAATACAATTGCTCACCACTCACCGACCAATACCCAGCCTGACCCAAGCACCGATACGGGCCTTCTGGGTAACTCCCCCCACAGTTTCTATACTGAGCATGATGTGCTGTGGTATGGAATACCCCTTTGGCTAGTTTGGGTCAGGTGTCCTGTCTCTGCTCCCTTGTGCCCCTCCTCAATGGCAGAGCATAAGAGACTGAACAGCTCTGATTAGGGTAAATGCTACTAAGCAACAACCAAAACATCAGTGTATTATCAGCATTATTCTCAGATTAAATTCATAACACAGCATTGTGTCAGCTACTAGGAAGAAATTAACTCTATGCGAGCTGAAACCAGGACATCTAACCAAGCAAACCTTGTTAACACCCCTAGAATTGATCGCATCTAGGTGGGAAAAAGGACCAAACCTTGTCCTCATCATGAACATGACTCAAAGTTTAGTGTTAGGAACAGGGATACTTGTACACACCCTACAACACAGCAAGGTGACTGTGGGGCTGTGCTGGGACAGGCATCTCTCCAGCAGCCAGAGGGGTGGGAAAAGTAAAGAAAAGAGGAGTTACAAATTGCCATGCTAAAATCTGCTCTCTCAAACATGCTGGACAGACCAGAGGCTGTAGGTCAGAGTGGGCAATATTAGCCTCCAAACGTTAAATCTTGGTAAGCCTGTGTTTCTAAGGGTGTGTATGTGTCCTGCAGCTGAAGGAGTACCTGAAGTGCTTAAACCACTTGCTCCTACAATGACAGCAGTAAATGCAGTTACTTGGTGGCAGACTGCTCCACAGCAAATGCTGTCTGCTTTACCCTTAGATGCTCTGAGGCAGAAACTGGGACCATACAGATGGTTAACCTAGTCACAGTGACAGTCACCCTCAATTCCAAGGAAATGCTAAGGGCAAAATTTCTACAGGCAGTGCATATGAAGAACATAGTCATATTTGGTAAAAATGCTTAAAGGGCTAACAAGGTAGCATCTGCATGGCTTTCCAGCTTCAGTGCTAGAACAATTAGCAGGAGAAAGTCAGGAACAGCTAACAGGACCCACACCAGATTCCCACATGTATCTGAGGTTAGAAAATATCGCTAAGTACTTTGAACACAATGATTCAGACAAAGAGGGGAGCTCTGCTGTGTGGGTTGCAGCCACCAAGGAAGAAACAAGAAACCAGAGTCTGGAAATGTTATCACTGTAAATGATAAGTAGACTGCAATGGTTCTGACTGATACAGGAGAGAAATGATTGATGCAGGCAAATGAACATACCTGTGGAACTAGAGCACCTTTAAAGAAAGAATCAGCTTCTCCAGTAGGTGTTAATGGTTGCTATGCCATCATAGGAGGAGATTCCAAGTTCTGATACTTCATTAAAGTGAACCTTTAGGTGAAAGAAACCCCAGGTCTCCTTTTCAAGGAGTAAGATCTTCATTCATTTGGTGCATGTGATTCACTTGTAGACATCTTTTTCTTTTCCCTTTGGAAAGTAAAGATTTTCTTGTCCAAAAAGTTTCTGTGACGTGACTTACATATGAGTTATTAATTAATTGTGGAGGACACTAGAGCTATGACAGCGTCTTTCTTATAGTTAGGTGACCTAAATCAGAAAAATTACTGTAAATGGAATTTCTCAGGTCAGAATTCAGATACGGGGATCAGTGACAAGCTCATAGAAAGGCAAAGAATTTTTTTGGTCACAATATTCACAAAAAGATAAATTCATATTTCAAATGGGAGATGTATGCTTTCAAACTTACTGAGTTCACAGTCTGGCTTTTTCACTGTGACAACTTTCCATCATCGCAAAACAATGTAGTAACAGAGGCAACTTGCAGGTATAGTGCACACAAGAGAAAATACTAACAGGCTTTTTTACACTTTAGTATTGTGGAAGCAGGAAAATGTAGACACTAATGTGATTCCACAAACTCTGGTTAGGACCACCTACCCTAGAGCCTAGCATCAGGAAACGGTGAGATTCCACAGCCTGCTGAAGACAAAGCAGGTCCTGGCCAGCGCATCTTTGGGAAACAGGGCATCCATCTGCCATGGGGTCTATGCACTGACACAGAAGCTGGGAACTTCTGTCCCATGCAAAGGCAATGTCAGTCCAGTTCTCAGAGCATTCTGAAAGCTTTCCTGCAAAGTCATAAACTCCCTGTGAGTGACACCATCTGCCCCAGCATTCTGAAAGGATGCCAGTGCTGACTGTGGCACTGTGTCTGCTCAGACACATTCCTGATGCATGTTGGGCATATGCCTGGCTTTAAACCCATGGTTTCCATGCCTTTATTGCTTTCCACTTACAGAGCACAGCGCAATTGCTGCCAGAAGAAAGTGATTTGCAGCTCTTCCCCCATACAGGAAGAATATGGTCTAGCAAGGCGCTCCATCCCTAATGTGAGAGCAAAATGTGTCACAATGTTTTTCTTTCAAAGCACACAACAGCCATGGGAGACCATTATAACTGAGAATTTCCGAGTTATTACAGATGGCAGATGGCTCACCCAGGTCTATAATGTTGGTACAGATGCTGCAGCATTCATATCTTTTTAAAAAAGGACTAGACCTTCAGCCATGTCTAGCTGACTGCTGTGCACACATCTAGTGTTAAACAGCGTAACGGCAGTGGGAACACAAGAACAATGGGGATTAGTTCATAAAGACAACTACCAGCTTGCATTTCATTTTTCACCAAGAATCTCAGGAGACAGAGAAACACATTGTGCTGGACCTGAATTTTAAGTAAGGTAGAAGTGTTGCTGCAAGCCTACTTTGTATATGCACTTGCTGCAGTTGTTCTTTTATACTGAGACAATTTCTGTGAAAATACTGCCATATAGCTATTGGCAGAGAAATATTTTAATATACTTCTGAAGTTAATCAGGTGTTTAAAATCTGAGCCAAAATATCCCACTTTTTTTCACTGAATACTGACAGTAGAATAAATGTAACCGCTAATGAAGTGAAGAAGCATTCCAGAATGCTGTCTTGTGGCTGATGTTAGGCTCAGGTAGAACACTGCTCCAACCGTTAAGCCCTCTTAGCAGTTTGCTGTTGCATTCTGTGTACTACCTCTAATACACAGACCAGCATTGGCAACATATATTCTAAGAACTGATTTACTGTATAACACTGGCAAATCACAACTAGTTTTTGCTCAAGGCAAACCTTCAGCTTACCGAGCATACTGTGTTAAACAAGTTTGTGGTTTAGCCCAGTCTTTGATGTGCTGATTGGTTGCACTTATCATGAACCACAAGCTGTTGTGAATTGCCATACACTGAACATCTTTGTTTCTATTACTGCAGCACATAGACAAATAATGGTGAGGCTTCAAAAGAGTTGTGTAAGGTATAATTCACAGGCTAATGTATTTCTATTCTATTGATGAGGAAAATGTAGCCATAAAGGGCTAAATGGTTCGGGTAAAGTCTGACCACAATAGTGGAAAGTATGATGGCTTTACATACTCCTATCTATAGGAGTACCTATATGCTTGATAATATTTCAAATTCAGCCTCCCATTTAGTAACATTTCATTTACTGAACTATCCCATGTGAGGAGACGCACAGCTCCACCAAGGCATCCACAACAGTTTTTTGTGTGTTGGGAATGGCAAGCACACACAGTGTCCTTCTGTAACCACCATCAGGTATATAAAACATGGCAGAAGCCAGAAAAGGAAATAAATAGCAAATAGGATGCACCTAGTGTCAAGGGAAATTCTATCAGTGCAGTCAAAGCTGATCCTTAGTAAGAAGTGTGTAGGTGATGGAGTGCAGAATGCTTTGCACAGATTCCTCAGCCAGTTGAGTAGCTGAATGCCACAAAGATATCCTGTGTTCATTGAAGTTGTAAAGTATCTGGGCTGATTAAGAAGATGCAAATATTTTGCACCAAATACTTAGTATTTTTAACAAGGGAAGTGAGGTTTTATGTAATTGTGATCAAAACTGACAAACATGCTTGCATGTTTGTCAGCGGCGGCTCTGAGGACGGGACGGGGGGGAACCACTATTCACAGCCAGAGTAGGTCCATCATGTGAGATGGATAAGGTCTATGGGTAAAAACCTCATCTATAATCTCACGATGACAGCGAGTACTACACCGTGCTTCTGAACGCTGCCAAAGGAATGTACAGGGCCATTGTATAGTCCAATGTACTTCTGTGCAGGGACAGAAGAAAGGTCAGTAATGGGCTGACCGTACTTGTAATGAAGATGACGAGCTAAAGACCTGTTCCCAAAGTTTAGCGCTGTTTATTTTGAAGACTTTTGTTACTAACAGTTTAATCATGCTTCGACTTTTCAATCTGTTTAAAAACATTGCATATGTTGATTAACATTATTGGTTCTATTTGTTAGAGCTCATTAATGCAAGACTTAGTGATGGTAAGCATTTAACTATATTTTTGCTGAAACGGGTATACAGTTTTTTAAAATACTGAAAACTAACAGATAGCTGTGGAAAGGAGAACATTACTTTCTCAGTTTGAAAATGGAATTTCACAAAGTCCTGTGGGTTAAAAATTAGACCTAAAAGTCTAATTTTAATGCTGTGCATTCAACTTTTGAAATCCGAGCCAGTGGTGCCTAACTCCTGCTCAAACCTATGACAGCTTGGCACACATCTGCCTCTGAAGATCTGGCCCTCAACTTTTCTGGAACAGAACTTTGATACCTGAGTCATGCAGGCATTAAGCATTTCCAGCTAAATCTTTTACTTTTGAACAAATGTAATGACAGGCTATAAAGCCCACTCAGTCAGTCATGAGTAGACAATCCCATTAGGTGTATGAAGCTACTTGTGGAACTTTCTTTAAGTCTCATACTGAGCCTAAAGGTTCAGCAGATCACTGTGCCACACATGCTAGACTTCAGGGTCCCCTGCACAGGCAAAGGAATTGAACTAATAAGACTGGGTGAAGCAGATGTCAAACGTGTGCCACTCTCCGCCAGGAGAAGCAAGAGAGGATGCTGCTTTGGAGTTTGAACCTGTTTTTTTTTACCCAGGAAAACACCCTGAAGTTGCTTGAAGAACCAGAGACCAATGGTTTGACAAACTGTCACTGTGGTTCCACAACTGGCAGCAGACAACAGTCACAGTATCTGCTTCGAAACCACAGGGCTGCCTTAAAAGCTAAAATCAACAACATGAGGAAAAAAAGTGTATGTCCATGTCTAACAGCTTTTAATTTCTGTTTTATTTGAAAGACACCCCCCTCTTCAGATACAATGGCCAGAGCTTACTGTTGGCAGATTGCTATGGGTTAACCCCATCAGGCAGCTAAACCCTACACAGCCCCTTGCTCACTCCCACCCAGGGGAGATGTAGGAGAAAATCAGAAGGGTTAAAGTGAGAAAACTCATGGGTTGAGATAAAGACAGTTTAACAGGTAAAGGTAAAGCAAAAGCCTTGCTCACAAGCAAAACAAAACAAGGAATTAATTTATCACTTCCTGTGGCCAGGCAGGTGTTCAGCCACCTCCACAAAAGCAGAGCTCCATCACACACGACAGTTACTTGGGAAGACAAACACTGTGATTCCAAATGTTCCCTCCTCCTTCTTCCCCCATCTTTCTTTCAGTCCTGAGCATGAAGCCATATGACATGGAATATCCCTTTGGTCAGCTGAGGTCATCTGTCCCAGTTGTGCCCACTCCCAGCTTCTTGCTTGTGCACTCCCAGCCTGCTCACTGGTGGAAAAACATGAGAAACAGCATGGGCCTTGGAGCTGTGGAAGCACTGCTCAGCAGTAACTAAACCAATTATCAACAACTTTGCTCACAAATACAAAACATAGCAACACACGAACTGTGATGAAGAAAATCAACTTCATCCCAGCCAAAGCCAGTACACCCAAAGGGTTCCAGAATCAGGGCCAGAAGAATAGGGGGTATCCACATAGCACCTTCCAGTCAGACAAGGACAGCTTGCAGGTGAATTGGGATCAATTGCAAAGCACAGGAAGGGCTGAAAATCAATTTAACTGATGTGCCTATATTCAAAACATGAGAACTAAGCAATAGGATACATTTTGGTGCTTGTGCTCATGATGGAGGCTATCCTCCTCTGCCGGTCCACTGAGGGTAAATTCTGTAAGCAAACACTTCAGATTTTGGCTTATCGCTATGTATAGGAAATAGCAATGTCCATGCATACAGCTCAGCTCTTTCTGATGGCGTCTGAATTTACCTCTGTTTGTCTGCATTTTCCTCTTCATTAATTTTGATGATGCCAGGAAGAGCTACCGTGCCACCACCTTTTGGCCTGATCATTTTACTCATGCATTTCATTTTCTATTGAGATTTCTACTTTGCATATGTTTGTAATTTTATTCTTGTATTCAGAGTTGTTTGCTGTCAAATTTGAAGGCAAGCTGTGCCTAAATGATCATCCCATCGCAGGGCAAATATTCACCAACCTGATAACAAATTAGCAAGATCTGTTTATCCATATTAAATTTTACTGCATTTTCCTGGAATGAGCACAAATTTTTGATTACTGCCTGCCCTGTGGTGTATTACTTTAGCTGTAGCTATGATGACTTTATAAATGGAACAGCTGTTTGCTAAGCAGGGTTCTGATATCTGTGGACCTTTCTAGCAAGGCACAAGTCAAAACAGAATAAACCACATGAGGTCAATTTGTGTTGTCTTAAAAGTACATCAACTATTTGTTTTCCTCCTTGCCCTTATTTTAAGAGGAAAGTGAAAGTCTGAATTTATATATATATATATATATATATATATTATTAAGTAGTCTTTGATCTTAATTTTACTTCTAGAAGGTGAGCACTTATGCTTAATGCATGAAACAAGTTTTCATCTTAGTAAGTGATACTCTGCCAGTGCAATTTCTTCTCCTCCATGAATGACAATCTGATTGACAACAAAAATTTTAAACTATGCCCCTAAATTACTGATAGGTGTAAATCATAGAATCATAGAATAGTTAGAGTTGGAAAGGACCTTAAGATCATCTGGTTCCAACCCTCCTGCTGTGGGCAGGGACACCTCACACTAAACTATGTCACCCAAGGCTTCATCCAACCTGGTCTTGAACACTGCAGGGGATGGACCATTCACAACTTTCCTGGGCAACCAATTCCAGTGCCTCACCACCCTAACAGTAAAGAACTTCGTCCTTATATCTAATCTAAACTTCCCTTGTTTAATTTTTAACCCATTATCCCTTGTCCTATCACTACAGTCTCTAATGAAGAGTCCCTCCCCAGCATCCCTATAGGCCCCCTTCAGATACTGGAAGGCTGCTATGAGGTCTCCACGTAGCCTTCCCTTCTCCAGACTGAACAGCCTCAGCTTTTTCAGCCTGTCTTCATACGGGAGGTGCTCCAGTCCCCTGATCATCCTTGTGGCTCTCCTCTGGACTTGTTCCAACAGTTCCATGTCCTTTTTATGTTGAGAACACCAGAACTGCACACAATACTCCCGGTGAGGTCTCACAAGAGCAGAGTAGCGGGGCAGGATCACCTCCTTTGACCTGCTGGTCATGTTCCTTTTGATGCAGCCCAGGATA